CATCTTTAATCAAGAAATGCCAGCCTTGAGTATACAAACCATTTAACATTATAAAAAAATGAACTACCAAGGACAGTCTGCTATACTTGAATTTTACTTCCCTCACATGCTTTTCTAAGCCTTCCACTGTCAGCAGCAAGGATCCAAAAGCTATTAGCACTGCATTCCAAATTTTCCTTCACATGTAGTGGACTTCTGCATGGCCCATCCACCCATGAAGCCAGAAGGCACTGCCAAAGTGCTGATGAACTGTGTTCCAGCAGTTTGGTATTCCACAAAATTAGGGTGCAACATTGCTTTTTATAGCTACAGCTCAGCCAATCCATGGTTCTCGCTCACTCTGAGCTGGTTCAGAAGTGGAAACTGGCCTCTGTTTAACAAAGTGTGAAGACAACAGATACTCTGCAACTTATTTGGCCAGTTAAGTCACTTTAAGATGAGTTTCATTAAAACTGTAGCTTTTCAGTGAGGAATTAGCCTGAAAAAATAATTTAATGGCAAATTTATTAAATATGTTTTCACTGAATGTATTCTTCACTGTATTATTTAAATCCATATAAATACTGAGGCCGCACTTCAAGAGAGTCTTTAAAACAATTGATGCAAACACATAAATCAAGTGTACCTGCAGGCTGAATATCCTCTTGAACAATACCAGCTCGGTTTATTGACTGCTCATTCTCTGGAAAACAGAACAGAAAGGACACTACTAAAAAAAAAAAAGAAAATACCAGATATCTTGATTGCACCTAATAAAATAATCTTGAAAATTTTATTAATTTGAGATGCTACATAGTAAAGTTCTGTTGAGTATCTACCTACAGAATACAAATATAGTATTCCTACTTCACTGAGAAATCAATAGCTAGTCTGTTTTGAGAGATTACAAACAATAAGATAATCATCCTCAAACAATGCCTACTGTTTAATAAAGATGCCAAAACACCAGTCATTCCTTAGTCAACACCTAAGGAATGATTAGTACTTTTGGAAGTTCATTCATATGCTCAACATAAAATGAGTCAAAATATTTTTTTTCATTTGGCCAACTCCCGTTTTCAGGCCCTGAAAGATCTTGCAAACGGATTTCATGACAGCACCTACAAAATTACTGCTTGTAAACTTTGTGAAATTCAGCATCTGAGGGATATTTTCTCACACACTGGGCCTGTGTCAGGCTTTTCTTTTTTCTTTCAAAGATTCAACCACTTCCACAAAGAGAAATGGAGAAAACTACACTATTTCCCTTACTAAATGCCCCTCCTTTTTTTCTATTTCCAGTCATGCACTTCACCACCAGTGCTACTCTGAAGCAGGAAGTCAAAGCTCAGGTGGATTCACCTTTTGCCCCCACCACTGAACTTCTGAGGCCTTTAAAAACCTGCAGGGTGCACATTCCCAAAGGAAGCTCAGAACTAAGCTCACCTTAAACTGGTATTTTTCATTATTCTATCCCAATGGGAATGCACTGGCACTACATGTTATCAGGCTGTCTGTGTACAAGCCTAATGCCACTGGAGACAGCATTATCACAGTAATTGATTCTCCTTGCAAGGGGTCAGGCACTAAAGGCACATCCAGGTTCTCCAGTTCTGTTCACTGAGCATGGTAATTCCATTTCATCCTTTTTAGCAGACAAAATCTCAGGGACCTGTCTAATTCCAAAGGAAAAGGCACAAAACCCAGAAAGGGAGAACAGAATAGATTAGGGCAGCAAAGGACATGAAGGAAAAGGATATTCAGTTTTGAGTAGAAACTTGGATTAGAAGAGAGGCAGGAAAAAATGGGAACCAATCTGAGAGTTCTGGGGACACACTTGGGTTGAACAGCAGGAGCTGTTAACTGGTCAGGCAAAGAAACCTGTGCAAAAATGTAAGAGATGATAAATACAGAGACAGGGCACAGAACAGTCAATAGGGAGATTGCTGTGGGGCCTGCAAACAACTTGGAAGAAAGGTAAGCCAGAAAAGAACAAGATTCAGTCTTGGTGACAGGAGAGCCACCTCACAGGATGGGGAAGAAACAGTCTCACAATTCAGAAAATCAAGAAATCTGTGAAAATGTCACAAAGAGCAGCTCTCAAGCCCCTCTTTGTTTTAGTTAATCCATGTGGAAAAGGCCTGTGCTGACAGCCTCAAATTTCATCATTGCCACTAAACTGGATAAGCTAGATACTGACAAGAAAATATTAGAAACAGCAAAGCCACCGAGGTACTAAAACCCTACAAAATTATAACATTTCCATATAAAATTAAGTCAAACTCCTTTGTGCACAATTTACGGTTCGTATCAACAATTTGATTATATACAATTTTTCCAAGTAGCTTTCATCTTGTTTGTTAAATTGCTAGGAACTTCTCTGAAAGTTCCTAGAGAACCGTGAAGTCAAGTCTTCTTCCAGAACACTAATGTACTTCACTTCTATAGAATTTGGGAGATACACAAGAAAAACAAGAGTGAAGAAAGAAAAGATAGCACTTCATGTTTACATGGTTCAATGTCACTCCAGGTAACTAATATTCATTCTTGCCTTTTGCATGATTATTCTGTGATGCTAATCAAAACACCCAACTTTGGGGACACAGCATCCCCAAACAGAAATACTGAGCATTCTCCCAGAGCTCAGGCCAACAGACGGCAGGAGCTTCTACGTAAGTTGTCAGACAGCTGCTTACTTGACTGTACTCAGAAAATCCTCTGTACTCCAAAGGTTAAACACTTGGGTTCAAACACCACAACTGTGGTAGTCCACAATCTCGCCTCAAATACTGTGATAACAAATGCTTGTGCCTCTCATACTGCAGTGATGATCAAGAAAAGCTCCTTGGAAATTAATAAAGGTGATATCAGATGGAGATTCAGCACCAGGCAGTAAGTTTAGAATCAGGTATCAAATCACAAGTTTGTGCACTTGCCAACTGTGCATCAATTCATTCTATGTCCTAAATAGACATTAAAAATCCCTAAACTGATAGGAAACATCTACTCACATAATTCACAAGTACAAAGGAGGACATTGCTCCACTAGTTCTGTCCTTTCCTTACTGCCAAGACACATTTCAAATACAGTATTTTTGGAAAGTATTGCATAAGCAAAAAAGATTTAGTAATAATGTTTTCAAAGGGAACACAGAGTAGGAAACATAATTGTAGGAAGTTTCACAAACTACAATTCCTACATAGTATCCTTGAATAAAAACTTGCTTGCAAGTTAAATTTTGATGCAAGGCCAAAGCCCCTCCAATAAGACCATTAAGTTTGCTATCCTTTTTTCTTTTCCTTCCTAGAAATCTTCAGTTGTCTTGGCAGATTAATCACATATACCTTCATATTTTTGGCTTGCTTAGTCTCATAAAAAAATTAAGTGGGGTGCAAGGCTGGTTGTACCAGCACTTTTCCCCCATTTCCTTTGTCACTATCTCACAGAAGGTGAGGAGGAGTAATGGATGCTCCCCCTACAGAGCACCTGCCTGGAGCTGCTGAAGCTTCACACCTGGAGCTGCAGGTGCCTTCGGGGCTTGGCAGGTTTTCCTGGCAGGAAAGTGGGATTTTCCTCAGGAGTCAGTTCCAGACTCAGCAGATTGAGAGCAGCTCTAGCAAATCATCACAACTGGCTGCCAAGTTTTAAGTTAGATTCTCAATGGCAGCTGGAAAACAGAACTCAAACAGCTCATAGAATCATTGAACAGTCTGGGCTGGAAGGGACCTTTAAAGGTCATCTACACCACCTCTCCTCACTGAGCTGGGACATCTTCAGCTAGATCAAGTTGCATAGAGCCCTGTCCAACCTGATCTTGAATGTTTCCAGGTATGGGAAAACCCACCACTCCTCTGGGCAATCTGTTCTAGTGGTTAACCACCACCATCATAAAAAATGTATTCCTTCTATTTACTCTGAATTTACTCTGTTTCGTTTGAAACTATTACCTCTAGTCCTATTGCAACAGGGCCTACTAAAAAGCCTGCCCCATCTTTCTTACAAGCTCTCTTCAAGTGTTCTACAAGGTTTTTCTGAAGCCTTCTCTTCTCCAGGCTGAAGAACCCCAACTCTCTCAGCCTTTCTGCATGGGAGAGGGGCTCTATCTCTCTGACCTCAACTTCTTCAACAGCGTCTCAGTTCTCTAAGGAGCAACTAAAGGATGTTGTACTGGCTAATAATCTGAAATAAGAGCAACAGCCAGCTGTATTATTTTCGTTTTCAGGTATCTCCTAGACGAGCAGAAAGCCCCTAGGGAGTCACTCGCCGAGCAGCAGGCCCGCATTCCCCCAAGCCCGGGCACAGACCGGGCCATGGCCCAGCCAGCTCCCCCCGCGCACGGACTCACTGTACTCCTCGGGCAGCAGCAGCGGCCGGAAATAAATGGGGTAGAAGGCGGCTCCCACCATGGCCACGAAGGCGCCGAAGATGCCGATGGTGCGGGACAGCGCGGCCATGGCCGGGCGGACGCGGAGAGGGCCGGAGCGGGGCCTTCCGGGGCACGGCCCGGCCCGCCGGGAGAGCGCCCCCGTGCGGCCGGCGGGGCGCAGCGCGGGCACGGGGCCGCTGCGGCCGCGCCGTCAGCCCGGCCCGGGCAGCCCGAGACGATGCGCCCCGGTCCCGCCGCCCCGCCCTAAAGCGCCTCGCCCGACAGCGGGAGCTGGCCCGGCCCGGGACTGTCCCGGTAGCGCAGCGCCGAGGCGGGAGGGCGGGGGCCGCCGCGGAGCCACCAAAGGAGTGGGCGGGCGCGGCCCTGCGCGGGGATCCCTCCCGGGCCGCCGCCCGGCGCCTGCTGTACGGAGCTGCCAGGAGCCCCCAAGGAGCTGCGCAGCACGGCCGGGGCTCGGCGTCTTCTGGCCCAGCCCCTGCGCACCTGCGGCGGCGGAGCGGGGCCCTGCCCTGCCCTGCCCTGCCGTGCCCGGGCGGCCGCCCCTCCTCCAGGAAGCCGGATCTGCCGCATCCTTGTCGCCGGGCCGGCCGCGCAGTCCCTGCCGCGCTGGGCACCGCCGCAGCGGCAGCAGCAGCAGCATGCGGCCCCCGGCCGAGCCCCGCCGCTCCGCTCCGCTGCTCCTCGTCCTGCTCACGGTGAGTGCCGCCGGCCCCGCACCTGCCCCGTGGACCCAGCCCGGGCAGGGCCGGCCCGTGCGGGGCCGCGGGTCGTTCCCGCAGCGCGGAGGGAGCCGAGCCGGGTCCGGCGGGGCTCGGGGGGCTCGGGCCGGGGCCGCCCCTCTGAGCCAGCCCCGGTGTCCGGCCTGGCTCCGCGCCCCCCGCCAGCCCCGCGGTTCCTGGGGCCTGGCTTACCGAGCTGGGGACGCCGAACCGTCACAGCCAGGTGTTAGGCTTTCTGCCCTGGGTGACGATAAACTTCTAGAGTGGGAAAAATGGGGGAGCCTTTAACATCTGCGTACAGATGCACGACTGAACATAGTGCTGCACTGGCTTATGGAAACAACCGTGGGTTAGGGCCAGTTACTAAACTACTTTTTCATCTCTTTTGCTGCTAAGCATAAGCTCTGGTCTAAGTGTTTGTGTGCCTGTGCCATGTTGGTGCTGATGGAGAGGAGCAGATCAACACCCTTTCTCGTCATGTCTTCTTTTCACTCTTGATAAAATGTAGCATGACGTGTTGGGCGTTTGCAGGTGAAGAACTGCACTTATCTTCAGGTTTTGTGCAAACAGGTGCAGGTTTCATAGGGTTTTATGGAATGTCCTCAGGGCTGAACTCATGAAGGGTCCTGTTGAGACCTCCAGCAAATGAAAGAATACTTGCTCAATCATTTCTGTATTATTACACTGCTCAAAATGTTCAGTTTCCTAATGCTTGCAGTGTTTGCCTCCCACATTGATTCTTATCCCAAGATCTGATGGAATTACTTGGGCTAAATCATTCAGATTCAGCAGGATTTAAGAAAAGAAAAAAAAAAAAACAAACCCAAAACCATTTACAGGTTTAAGTTGCCCCACACAACAAAACCTTTGTGTCTGTCTTGTTGAACTTTGTCTATTTCATGATAATATTTTGAATCAGCGTATCTGACTTCTTTAGTGCGCTGGAAAACTTTTATATTTAAGTCTCCTAATCACACTCACTCAATGTGTCATCTTTTCATCCTTGTGCTGTCTCAGAGGTGATGCACATTTAACTCTGCCTTGTCTGATACAACAGGAAGGGAAGAGGCTCCCCCACCGAGGAGGAACATTGAGATGATACACACTCTGTGCACTGTGTAGTGGTAACAGAGACTTGGCCAGGGTCTGGAGGTTTATGGTCTGCGGTGTCTGCCACGTCTCCATCATGTGGGGTTGCTCTGGGTTCTTCGCTCCATGCTATTTGCTGGATGAGCCTCCAGAAGGGTTAGTTAGGTGGGATATAACAGAAGACTCAAATGTAGTTCATGCATTTTGGCAGCACAGGCCGCAAGTAGTACCCAGGGACCAAAGAATACAAAGTAAAATGCGGAGCCATTTAGCAGACCAGGCACTACAGGAAAGGCACTAGATCAGCAGAGCTGGAGCTAAAGTTAGCATCAGCAATTGTGTTGCATTGTGCTTAAGTGCTCTAGGAACATCATGGAAATTGTTCTGCAAAGACCTGGCTTTGAGTTTGAGAGCTTACTGCTTTGGGATCCCCCACCACAAAATTTCTGCCATTCACTGGAAATCACATGGGCATACTCATACCCTGCAGCATCTTTGTTAACAAACTGTGCCAGACCCAAGCTGTCCTTGCTGGAGTCTAGTTCCCATTGCTCTGTGGTGGATAACCACTGAGAAAATTGAGAGCTGGCTGTGTGTGTGTTTTGACAGTAAGTGTGTGTGGTAAGCACACATTAGTACCCCTATGCTTTTTAGTATCTACCTGGTGGACTTTTGCATCTTGTGATAATGAGATGGCACTGTGTTCATAGTATATTGCCATCTTCCTCATGACACAGTGCCCTTATCACAAAGATTAAGCTACTTACAAGTACTCTTTATTGTAAGATCAAGGAATATTAATTATGACCATCAAATACAAGAGGTTTAGGATAATTTGTTGCTGCTGCTATGGGCTTTTAATACTTTTAAACCAAAGAAGAATTGTGGTGGAAGTGTAAAAGAATAGTATCTTTTGTCAAGTGAAGCTCTGAAAGGTACTCAAATTAGTATTAAAATGAAGGCTCTCTCATCAACTTTTGTCTCAGTATTTGTGTATGTGTGTTATTCCAGCATATGTTACACACCATACCATGTGTTCCAATGGACACCAACCTCCTATTGCTATTCCTTTTTCAGCCCCTTCAGTTTGCATAGTTTTTACAATATAAAATCAGAATATTCTGGGTTGGAAGGGACCCACAAGGATCATTGAGGCCAACTCTTAAAGTGAATGGTCCATAAAGGGATCAAACCCACAACATTGGCATTATTAGCACTGTACTCCAACCAATATCCATTTTGTGGAGTGGGAAATAAGGCAGAGAGGAAGGCTGATGAGACAGTATTTTGGCTTTCTACAATAGGCAAAGTTGCATAGTCTTCTGTAGGTTTTTAGCATTTTATTTGTTAAAAGTGTTTATCTTGGTGCTTGCATGTGTTTATCAGTGTTCAGCATCACTGCACATCTCACTTGCAGTGTCTCTTGTCAGATACAAGAAGATAAAGAGCATTTGGTTGCAAGTATGGTAAGTGGTTTAAGTGACAAGTTTCCTAGGAACACCAAATAAAGTGATCTAGAGCTACCCATCTGCTCACAATGGTATCTAGCTTCTTTGTCCAAAAGTTCCCTCATTCAGTTACGTCTTCCAGTGTCTGACCTTAATAAAGTCAAGGTCTTGAAGTGAACAGCACCTCTATGCATAGTTGTGTTCCTCCAACAAACCTTGAGCTCTTTTGCACCTCTAAGGAGGCAGGGAACTAGGGAAAAATACCATTTGATCACACAGGTGACCAAAAAATCCAAAAATCTTCATCTGTAGGAGCAAGGAGGTAGTATAGGACTTAGTTCTGACTTTTCTTAATATTTACACCTTCCCAGGTCATACTGGCTTGATGTTTCTTCAGTGTAGCTCTCAAGGAGTGTCAACATATTCTCAAGAAATAAAAAACAAAGTAGTTTATCATTAGGGACTTTTATTGATCTCCATGTTGGATTGTGGGCAAGGTCTAGTCCTCCAGGTGCACAACACACAATTTCTATGATTAGAAATGTACTAATGACTAGGCCAAACCCTTTAAATGTTTTGAAAAACTCAGTGAAAAAGGCATCAATCCAAGATAGGTATCCAAGATAAATTTTATTTTAATTTGTTTAATCTTAGCAAAGTTAAAAGTTACCCAAGACAGATCTCATTTTTAGCAATCTTAATGACCATCTTCCCTGGTATTCCTATGTGACAATTGTGAATATCTTAGACAGACCAGGGGACATGGTGGAACTGCTGTGCTGGTGGCTTGCCCTCAGAGCTGAGTAATCCCCAGTATCCTTGGCAGTGCATCAAGCTGGATGCTGGCTGCTAGGCAGAAAGAAAAGAAGCTGTTTCAAGTTTTAGAGACAAGAACTTAATCACAGGGGATAATCCTGTTGTATGTCCAGGCACTCACTCTCAAACTATATATAATGTACCTAGCTGTGGAGAGCAAAAGCTGAGCAAACTCAGCCTGCTGGTCTTGCTGCTCAGATTTCCAAGTCCATCTTCACAATAGGAACATGTCAAAAATGAAACACTTTACAAATATTAATTCATTGTCAGGAAGCCTTTGTTGTCATTTTGTCCTTCAGGGACCTGCATGACAGGTAACAAAATCAGCTAACTTTTTTAGAAGAAGCAGAAACATCAGGCTGTGGCAATCCTAGCAAACAATGATACATAATGAATGTATGCCTGTACATTTTTGTGCACCCTCCTTAGGCCTGATCCTAGGAGCATGTTTGAATAGTGTGACGTCTAAGTCGCTATCTTGGACCGGATTCCACTTGCATAGGGCTGAAGGATACACCCTGTAAATACAGTTTGTTTGTAGAAGCATGTGTAACTTTGAGACCTTGACGTAGGGACGTTGTTGCCATTAAAATCTTGATGGTGGCTCTCCAGTAATCTGTGTCTACTTGCTGGGTAAAAGAAACCTCATCTTTTGAAGTAAAAGTGTGGTATATACGTGCCTGTGCAGTGTTCTGTTATTATTGTGAGTGTGTGAATAATCGCATAGATTCTCTGGTTAACATGTCTGTGTTTTGGGTTTTCTTCCAGAACTTTGTGCTGTCCTTTGGAAAGGAGACATTACAGACAACGGCAGTTACTCCACAGTTTCAGAAGAATGTGGATTATGTAGATTTTATCTATTTAAACATTTTAGAAAAGAAAGTTCTTAACAATTCTGAGGTTTCAGTTCAATATTTATGTTCTAAACCTTGTATTGTCAGTTTAGAAGCAGTAGCTTCCTCCGAGTTCAGGACTGGTGTGCCAGTGTATAGAAGGAGATGGAAGGATGAGAAGAACCTTTATGTTAGCAGAACTCGACAAGTACACTTGAAATTTCCAAGCATCATGGTTTACAGAGATGATTATATCATCAGAAACTCAATAATAGTGCACAGTGTGATACTGTACGCATGGATTAGCCACAGATCAGCTAGCAACTATGGTGATGAGCAGAATGAAGACTACCAGGCTGCAGTTGCCAAGAATTACACATTTTTAGAGGCAGTTCCACCCTTTGAACGGCCATATAAGGACCACAAAGTTTGTCTTCAGTGGGGTGCTGACTATTTGTGGATGCTCCAGGCCAATAGGATACCTCAGTGCCCTCATGAAACTGGTAGGTGCAATGTCACTTTTTTTCCCCAAGGAAACAAATAACATCTCTGGTAAGCTGTTAAAAAATGCCTACTGGTAGTAAATAGTAAATATTACACACAGTGGTTTACTTGGGAAGCATTGTTGAACACGTAATCTCCATAACTGGGAGGTTAGAGTTGCAAGTTGCTGAAGTCATCCTGCTCTTCAGATTGTTTCATCACAGCTAGCCTGGAGGTTGGTAGCAGCCTGGCCCCCTCTTTTTCAAGCATTTTCAAACAATTTTAGTCAAAACCCATCAGAGTTTGTGAACATCATTCCTTTATCTTCAGAGAGAGTTGTTCAGTCCCTTACTGCATTAATGCAGTTCTGCAGTTCATGCACACATAATTTTCACACAGGTAGTTTCCTTCTGCCTAAAGTGGTGGCCTCACACTCAGAAACATATTTTCAAGTCTTCGTAGTGAGCTAAGCTTTACAGACCCTCTTTTTTTTTTCCCCTAGAACCATTATGAACAAGCATTTTAGAAAAAAAAAGTAATAGTTTTAAATAAAAAATCATGTATTGCCAACAGTACAGATTACAGAAACAGCTTTGCTTTTTAGATTTTTTGAGTCCTTTTTTTTTCTGCCTGCCTGTCTCTAGCTTTACACTTGCTGACAATGTTTTTGCTCTCAGTGAGTGCTCAAAGCAGAACCTAGAAGGAAAAAGAACATTTGTTTCTAAATGGTTCTCTCCCAGAAAATCCCATAATGGTATTTGTGTCATTTATTGTCACTACACTGGCATGTAAGTGCTTTGAAGAAGAATTGGAAACATGTTGTTTCCTTTAAGGGCTTTCTAAAATACTTGTTGGAGACAGCATGTGATATCTGACAACACTGTGAAACATCTTATTGTCTGTATTATCTATTTCTATTACAGATTAAATCAGTTTAATAGACAATAGAAGGAAATAATATTCAAATGTTGTTTCTTAAAATAATGTAACAATTTGCTCAGGGTTTGGTTTATTTTATTGTTTTCTTGGTGGTTTTTTGTCTGGTTTTTGGGTTTCTCTAGGCAAGCTGATGATATCTCATGGCCTTGAAGATTTTTCTCCTTTCTTAGGAGGGGCATCTTTATCAGTTTTGTTACAAGATTATCCATATCAGTTAAGAACAGAATTGGTATCTATGCATACATATAATATAGAGAGGCACAAATGGAGAGCAATTCCAAGAGATGTGGAGAAATGTCACTTTGGCATAACCAAAGATAGGATGAGATGTAAGTGAATAACATTAAGTAGGACTTGTTTACTAACTGGTTCTTTAAGTATCTTAGATTTAAATAAGTCTGTTCTTTCCCTGCTTCTAATTTTATCTGGAAACAGGTTCAAATTCACTTTTTGTGGGTTATTTGGTCCAAGACTGTAATGTATTTTACAGCAGCAAGTGAATTTTTGTCTAAGGACTTATTGAGAGTTTGTGTTAACTTTAAATCTGTTGTGTGATTTAAATGTTTGACTGTAGGAATGTGAGCTAATTAATTAATTTTATGCTTTCTGTCTGTCAGATTAAAAAAGACTGTATTTTGCAGATGGTGTCCAGGTTCTCGAATTTATATATGCTTCCAGTGGGGAAAAAACAGGAATTGTGAAGAAATTTGAACAGTTTGAAAACAGAGAACTTGAGACAGTCAGACAACACCAGGTTGATTATCCCATGTAAGTATAGGCAAGTAAGTGAATGGGGCTGTATTTGGTTTTTGAAGGCTATAGAATGTACTTAAACTCTTGGGCTTTACCACAAATTCAAGGAATACTGCCTACTAATTTCATAAAAGATGCAAAAGGAGCCTAGTTAGCAGTTCCTTCTGATTCCAGTTCTGGACAGGCTTAAGCTGAAGCTCAGGAAGATACTTGCAGTATGTGTTAGTGCAGTGCTGTGTAGGAGATGCCACTGAAGGTGTAACAGGTACAGTTAGGAGGGTGAGTTGGCTGTTACCTGCTGTCATGATCAGACTGCTGTCTCATGACTAACTAGCCTGGGGTTTTCTGCATTACAAACAGATCTGCATTTCTAACATTGTTTGCAGACCAAGAGTAGAGTAGGATTTCTTGCAAAGGCAAGAAGCATGAAGCAGCTTTATCCCTATAAATTCCCACTCTAGTTTATTTTGCACCTGACAAGCAACTGGATAGAATCCTGTGCCTAGATAAGTCTTCGAGCTAGAGCTCGCTCCATTTCCTTCTACCATTGCTGTGTAAATTTTTCTATTTTGACAGAAATAGAAAAATTATCCTCTGCACACTATTCAGTTACAGAGGAATCACTCTTGTTAGGTCATCTTGCTCTGCTCTGGTCCCCCTTCCCAAAACTGTCACAACTCTCCAGTGATATTTTGCAACTTCAGGGGAGTAGAGATACATAAATAGACCTCCCTTCCACCAGATGCTCTCACCCTGGCAACATTATTGCAGAAGTAGGAAATAATTACAGGAGCTGGGACTTGCCTTCTGGATTGCATTTGGCCTGTGGCCTCAAGAAGAGTGCCAAGATGGCTTGACAGAGAGCACAGGTTGCATGCAAATTCCTAGCTCTCAAACCATAACTGAAGCCATAAATACAGAGCAATTTTTAGCTCCTGGTCTCTTCTGGGTGAGTGACAGCCTGCTGCTCTTTGCCCACCAACGCAGTGCATCCTGCTTCTGGTACAGAGGCACTTAAGCTCTGGTGTACAGTATATGGAATAAATTTATGTATCTTTTTATCTGCTCCACATAGTTCTTGCCTTCAAGTTCAGTGTCTTCAGTGTGTTGTGTGCTGTGGTTGTGTGACAGCCTGGGGTAGTTCTGTTAGGAAGAGGAAGAGAGTTCTTCTCTTCAGTTCTTTTTCAGTTCTGTGTATGTGAGCAGTGATTCCCCACTGTACAAAAGGTAATAGAAGTAGATGAATCTAACTGAGATACTTGTTTGGCTTCAGTTAGGGATTTGTAAAGAAAGGGAGACCGAGATACATAATTTTTCTTTGAGCCTGCAGCAAGAACAGGCTGGGACTGTAAGGAACTGCTCAAGCTGTTTGGCACTCTGCAGCAGTGGGGATATGAAATGAGTCAGCATTGTCCCAGACTCTGTCCCAAGAAATGTGTCCAGAACAAACACAGTCTCAGACTGGCAATCAAGGATTAAATGGAGACTGAGGCATTTGAGTTTGCTGTATTGGCAGAGATGAAAGTTGAAAAGAGCAATATATAAGCATGAACACAGGAGCAGTATTTCTAGAAGCACAGTGTTTGCCTGTAGGTCCTAGCAATCAATATACAAGTGATTGTCATTTACAAACCTTTCTACCACATCCATATACTATCTCTGGAGAAAATGGTGTTATTAGCTGTTTAAGGTATAGTTTCCATTAGGGAAAACTTAATCATCCTTGCATTTTTTTTAAGGAGAGCAGGTGTTAGGCTTTCAGACCTACAGTGGTTTAGTTTAGGAGAAGATACAAGGTACTTGTGTTAAGCAATTTTTTGAGAGAGAAGCAAGGCAAGCTGACCCTATCCTAAAGTATTATAAACAAATATTGACCATTTTTATTAATTACAGAAATACAAAAATTGATTATCTCTTTCTAAAAGTCACTAAGAAAAGTGAACTATTTAATCAGATATGATAATAATTATAGTGCTTTGCTGAATTATACACTGGAGGTACGATTTTCAAAGTCATTCAGCATTGACCTAATTGCTGTGGCAATGTTACAGAAATAAGTGTGATCAAATTTCTGTTAAGAGCACAGAAGCAGATTTAGTCTGGCACAGAGGAACTCCTTAAAATTAGATATTGTGGTATATATTCTGCTTTTAGTGCCTCAGCCAGGTTTGAACAGAAATTTCTAAGTACATAGTGCTGTTGGTGTTTGGTTTTTTATTTTTCACTGTTCCATAGTTTGCAGAAGCTCCACCTTTATTCATCCTGTGATACTTCTGTGACAGCTATTCATACCCATCTGTACTGTCCAGAGAATGGACTAATTTTTAACTGCTTCTCCCAAGCATATTTTCACAGTTCACTTTTAGTACAGAAGACAGAGCTAATAGTTTTTACTGGCTTTGACAATCAAGGTGACAACACCCCACATCTGGGGGCTTGGTCCTGGTCTGTGTGGGGAGGTTGGCTCCAGTTTGTTTTGGTTGTGTTCTCAGTTCCTTGGTGGTGTAGGATCTGGAAGTAGCTCTGACCTGGCATTCTGAAATTGATTCAGATAGCACTTCCTTACTCTCTTCTCCTGTTTGCTACCACAAAAGTCTGTGGTTAGAGATCAAAGATCCAAGAGTCTTAAGTGTGGTTTTTTTTTTTCTGAAGATTTTTACTGTAGAGGATGTTACAGTGTTCTGTTCTATTCTGAAGATTACATGTGTGACACAGGTTTGCTAAATTAGTGAAATGCATGCTTTTCAAATTATATAGAAAGCTTTGTCATCAGGAGTGGATTTTGTGTTTGCTTTTGCTCATACAGGTTCACCATTTCAATCTGGCTATATCTACTCCATCACTGTGAAAAGGACCTGTGTGGTATACTCTATTTTATTGATTCCAAAGAAATGTATGGTACTCCTGCTGTATTTCTAAATGAGGAAGGTAAGGGATATTACTAATGGCTTTCAGAAGAGGTCTAATACAGTCTTTATCGATTTGTGCCTAGGAATAACATTTATAAAAATATATTATCAGACTTATTTTGTGAAATTGATCCCTTGCAAAATGCTTCTTTTTGACTGTAGCATCTCAGTAGGAAAGTAGCCACTAAATTACCAGGAGAAAATGTAGTAGTTGCAAGCATCTAATCTTCACTAACTTCAGAAATGTCTGCTTTGTCAGGAGAATAGCCTGAATCTTTCAGCCAGGAGCATACACTGAGATTAAACAGTCTCACCTCAATGAACAAGCTTTCTTATTATTACTGAAGTGTTGTTTTAAATGGATCTTAATTCCTATATATACAACATGAAAATTTTTGATAATTGGAAGTAGCCTCAGAAAAAGTCAAAGTCATTCAAGGTCTTGCCTACACTGCAATGTGTAGGCAAGAACCAGTCTGTTTCCCTGATCCAGAAGAAAGTTAAGAGGTAGCACTAGTCTTGCAGCACTTGCAGTGGGGGCCTGTTGTTGTCAGAAGAGGGCTGGGAGCTGGCTGGCAGGCTCACAGAAGAAATAAGCATGCAGAGTTTTAAAAGGGTACACCTGGCATTCTCATAATACATTTTTTCCCTCGTTCTTTAAGAGTTTGACAACTGACCTCTTCCTCACTGTCATTTTTGTCATTTTAATTTTCTCTGCCATATAGCCAATTTCAATAATTAATATATCCATTATAAACTGGATGCTTTTCTCTGAAGAACAAAAAAAATGGAAGTTACCAGCTTGATGTGAGATTTGCCTGGCAAGGTTTTAGGGCCAGTTTTATTCTCAGTGTTACCCTAGATTATCAAAGTAGCTTGTTCTGATCTTAAAAGTTCATACCATGAGTGTGGCTTCTGCAGGTCCAAGAAGTGGAGGGTAGAGTCTCCTTGTGCTTGATCATTGCAGTCACATGCCACCAGTTGAGTGCTGAGTGGATGCCATTGTTTACTGGTCCCTTGTGCTGTTTACTGCAAGCCACAACTGCTTTCTGATGTTTGAGATCAGCTGTGACAGCCTCCCTTAGGTTTAGTCTGTTCAGTCTGTTTCACCCTGGTTTTCAGCCTCTGGTTTCATGTGGGAGCCTGGGCATCAGCATCTGAAATGTGGAGTACTATCTGTGGGGCTCTGAGAGCTGATGTATGGCTTGGTGGTACCAGATTTCTGTTGTTGGTGATGAAGAGGGTGAAGAGAACAGAATCACTGTGAACAAAGCATTAGTAAACTCATTCTTGCTGCTAATGTTTCTGTGGTGTTTGTTTCCTTTTTCTTCCTTTTTTGCTCTCAGGTTATGTGCATATTCAGATGCATCTCATGAGAGGGGATGACCTTGCAGTGAAAACTAGCTTCAGCCTTCCTCTGAAGCAGTGGTTTCGACTGGATCTCTCCTTTAAGGGTGGACAGGTACGCTTGCTACTGAGTTACAAACTGACAAACTCCTTAATAGCTGAGGCTGAGACAAACACTGTAAATTGTATGTGCTCACATAGCAAAAGAATGAAAAATCTAAAACTAGAAGTTGTGAGGAGATGTTCAGACCATCCAGCTTTGGAAAATCACCATTGATTGATTGATTGATTGATTGATTGAGTTGGATTGGGTGCACCCTCAGCAAGTTTTCCAATGACACCAGGGGTCAGTTGAGAGGCTGGAGGGAATGGATGCCATCCAGATGGACATGGACAAGCTGGAGAGGTGAGCCCATGTGAACCTTGTGATGTTCCACAAGTCCAAGTGCGAGGTGTTGCACCTGGGTCAGGGGAATCCCAGGCACAAACACGGGCTGGGCAGAGAGTAGATTGAGAGCAGCCCTGGGGAGAAGGATTTCGGGCTGTGGATCAACAAGAATCATTGAATCATTAAGGCTGGAAAAGACCTCAAAATTATCAAGTCCAACCTTTGGGCAAACAGCACCACATCAGTTAAAACCACAGTGCTGAGTGCCACATCCACTTGTTTCCTGAACACTTCAGGGATGGTGACTCCACAATTAACATGGGCAGCCTGTTCCAGTGCTTGACAACCCTTTCAGTGAAGAAATATTTCCTAACATCCAATTTAAACCTCCCCTGGAGCAACTAAACAGTGTAGTAAATGTACCCTATAACATTTCTTTTATTGTGATTAATGTTTTGTGCTCTTTTAGATTGAAGTAAGCAGTGTTGGGAAGAATTTGAAAAGACATCATCATCAATCTTTTACGTAAGCAGCATTTTCTCCTTTGTGGAGTAATATGTGTGTGTGTGTTCAGATGCAGAGAATGGGGGAAGGATAGCACAGTTTATAACTGAGATTCTAATTGATTTTGAAAATGTCTGTGGTCTTTTTCTACACTATCCTTTCAAAACCAGCTTGCTTTACTGTGCTTACATTAAGCATGAGCTGAGTATTTTAATGCCATGAGTTAATGTGGTGCATGTTCTAGTACTAGAGTCTGATAACCCTCACTAAAAACTGATTGGCAGGTCAGTGGCATTAGGATCAGTCTTCAAATGAACTTTTGGCCTTACTGAAGTCTAGTTTGCTGTTGCTGTGAGGGGTAGTATTTCAGCAGGGAAATTCTTACTTGTTTTGCTTAGTTAGAGAGCAAAATTTCCACCAAAAGTATTCACACTCTGTGTAGAAATATAGAAATATAAAAATTTCTATGTAGAAATATTCTATGCAACTGATTATTTTTAAATGGGTTTTTAATTGGTTTCTTTCACTGTAATTTAAGATGGACTCTTTCTTGTGCAAATAATTAAAAAATGCCACTGTTAATAAGGGAACTACGTAACAGTGAACTGCATGGCAGACTGCCAGACTTCAGGATTGTTCCTTCTCTGCTGTGCTTTAAATCCAGAAATTGATAAGTTGCAGATGATAACTCTAGGAGACTAATAACTTAAATTTTCATATGCTGATTTTAGAAAAGTGAAAGGGAAAGGTGGAACTGAAAAAAATGAGCTTAAGTAATGATGCCTAAAATATCAAAAGATACTTACAGGTCAGAAAAATAAAACACCCCTGTTTGTAGGCAAGGAATTTGTTAAATTTACTCCATAATTTGTCACACTAAATTGCAGAGTCAATTTTGAGAATAAACAAATTACAAAAGAAAAAGATACTTGGAATAAGCTTAAGACTGTCAGTTGCAGAAATTCTGAGAAATACTTATTTCTCTTTCTTCTTTCACAGTACCTCTAGATAGTCAGCTTACTTCTCTTTCATGTTCTCAAGTTTTAGGGAAGATTTCTATTATGATGACACTGCTGGATACTTTGTTCTTGGGGGCAGTGGGTACGTAAATGGTATTGAAGCCTTCTTTGGACCTGTGAAATACTATCGCCTCAATGTGCTGGAAACAGAACAGGTGAGCAAGGGCACTACTTGGAAATGCTGAAATATTAGCAGCCAACTATGACTGAGTATATTTTATTTTTTCAGATGGAGTGCTCATCTGGTGATAAACTAGCTATGAGGCACAATAGTATCTGGGAACATATGTCATACATGATAATTTTCTTTTCAAATCTAGCAACATTAGTTACCATTTCAAATGCTAAAAAATAATACTTCGGGAAGTGAGTGTGTTAAGCAGTTTTTGTAGATCTATATTTAATAATATAGGTACAATTATAATAATATAATATAATATATATTTAATATATTTAATATTTTCACTATTGCTTTGTTCCCAGAGTTTCTGATGAGACAGTGTTGGATATATTTGATTAATCTGCAGTTTTGATTAAACTGATGGTAAAAGTCACATGGGTCTGGTCAGTTTTGGAAATTCATCTGTGATTTTTGGATTATGCTGACCATTTAAATAGGCAGTGATCTACTGGGGCCAGCATCAGGCTGTCTGACACACTAATAGGGTGTGCCAGATAAACTGATTGTAGTGAACAATCTGTTTCCTTTTGTTATTTGTGGACAGTGCATCTTTCTAGCTGAGCATACACAACAACAGATGCTGGAGATGCCATTTATCCATCATTTGCCTTTTTACAGATTTCTAATCCTCTTCATGACAAGGACACAGTGGAACAAATTGAGCTTTACTACGAGAGATGTATGGACATTCAAGAAATAGTTTATGATTACAGATATATTGTAAGGCAAGGCGAAAAAACACACAGAAGTTGTAAGTGTTGATCTATAACATGAATTTTAAACTGTCATCTTTGGAGACCTGTTTTCTTTCCTTTAACAATCTGGATATTGATTATCAAAAGTAAAATTAAATTCACCCATAACAATTAGAAGAGTTTAGTCTTATTACTGGTAGCTAAAACTGGGGTTTTGTCCCTGCAAATACTTTTGTGTCATGGAATAAAAATTTAAATCAATCATCTTGGTATGTCTTCTCTAATAAGAGAGGTGCCTAAAGGGACAAAGAAATACTCTTAAGCTTTCATGTGTGCTATGCTATTTCCTTTCTTCCATTTCATTTTCAAAATTACCCTAAAGGAAAATGGATGGATTTTGCTAGAATGTTTCTGCCACAGTTGCCTAACATTCAGTAATCAACAGGCTTCTACCAAAGTGTCCATTTTGGTAAAAGGAAAATGACATAGCTTAAATGTGTGCTGAAAACTAGCTTATGTTTTCTAATTTGAATTGGATTGAATGTGTTATGACTAGATTATGGAAGAAGAAATCTAAATGTATTTGTAAGTGGCCTGTGCTAGCTGGGTGAGTTTTTAGCTTTGTGTTAAGGGTATGTTCATCTTGTCCATGAATTTTGAGTTTATGAGAAATTTTTTTTCTGTCAGAAACTTCTTTTGAAGACCAAAAAGTCAGCTTTCATATCTTAAATATTTTGCTTTCTCTAGGTTACTATGAAAACTATTATTTGGAGCAGATTCACAAATATGGAGAAAAATCCAAATGTGATGCTTTCATGTGGGGAAAAGAGCTCAGGGAAAAGTACCACACTTTGTTCAAACTGTTACAAGAGATGGATTTCAGTAGTCCAGATGGTAATCATGTTTTTTTTTTAATTGTTCCTAAATATCTCAACAATATTTGTTGTGTAGTTTAGTATTATTTGGCTTAATTTGTTACACATGTTTTTCATATTGCTAATTTAATAAAGGAGTGTTTAGTGGCTTATATATTGCAATATGCTGCAGATGGAAGGATGGCTTACTAGGTAGAAAGAATCATAGAAATATCCTTATTTTTTTAGTGGTCACTCTGAGATGATCTTTTAGATTTTTTTCACTCTTCTTATTCACTAATACCTTATTTCTCTAGGAATTTCATCTGCATTGAGAATACCATTCAGCTTGAGAAATAACAGAATCTATTATTCTGTCTCTTACTCAGTTTCTGGGGAAATTGGTTCCTAATTTGAACTCTTACAACAACTGTGTGTTCTATATTTTATTTTTGGTGTTAGAAGATGGAAGTGATACAGTTGTAGAAGTTGGCCGAAGGATATTTGAGAAGGTTGTGAAAGGTCTGTCCAGTGCCAATGGCCTCAGCAATTTGGGCTCCTCTGTCCCTCTCCTGGTGGATTCCAGTTGTTGTGGATACCATAAGGCTTCCTATTTCCTTGCAGTTATATTTGAAACAGGCCTTGGGGTGCCTGTGGATCGTATAAAGGTAAAATATTTAACATGTGCTCTTATGTCTGTGAAATTAATTACCTTTAAAGACAGTTAAGAAATGGGATGAGCCATTGATTAAAGTGAAATGGCCCTCAGATCCAAGTGGTTGAAGGGATTCTCCAATAAAGCTACTAATAAATGCCCTAATGGCAGTGATATCTTTATGAAGGCCTGGTGGTGGGAATCTTTATCCTGCTCAAGCAGAACAAGGACATCAGTGATATAATAAAGATCTAAAAATGAGTAAAGTGAACAGCACAGAAAGTACTGCTTTTCCCAGTCACTGTGGAGCCAGGATGAGTAAGATCCCTTGAGTCACCCACAGTGATTTGAAAACAGGTGGGAAAAAAGTCCCAGATCAGGCAAATCTAAATTGGAAAGGTTGCATAGTACAGTCAGGGAAGAAGTCTGATTTTAGAGTGTGCAGAAATGTGACACTGAGTATATTATGGTCAAATGAGCAAGGGTAACCAAAGTAGAGCAGTTTTCTTTTGTTAAAAAGTGACAGTGCTTCAAACTGAGCAACTGCCGAGTTTGAGAGCTCCTGACCTCTTAGGCAGCTTGCAAATAGCTGAAATGTTTCAATGTATTCTAGGTCAAGTAAAGGGAAGGTGTTTATATGTCAGGGGAAGAAGGCAATACTAAAATTGCCAACAGATACTTAATTGTGGTATAATAGTAAAATATAAAGAATAGCAGATCTGTCTGTTGCGGTTAGAGGACATTAAATCAGAAGAACCTCTTACAGGCCAATCAGAAACAAAGCTCACCTGCAATTCTTCAGAAACAAAAAACCTTAAACAGGAACCCTTTTTATACCCTAATTATAGAGTATACAGTGCTTATTATGGAGGCTGAGTAATTTCATCGTTGGATCTGCTTCTGGTAGTGTAGGAAACAATTTAATATCCAGCACAGATGGGACACCACTGGTTTTCTTACTGTGCAGGTGAAAAATAATAGTAGTGCTGAAATTTTTTTTTTCATGTGTGATGCATAGACCAATTAACATGTATCTCAAGGGAGATTTGTGCTGAAACCTTATCAGCCATAGATTCCATCCTTCTAGTCCTGTCAGATCCCTAGGGTAAGATTCTCAAATGCTGTTTGTTAGCTTCCATATGTTTCACAGGATTTAGTGTGAAAACTCCAGCTGGCTTCAGTGGGACTGGTTAAGTCACTGCTGAGTATAAGAAGTGTCAGAGTATAAACAACACTGTACTAAAATGACATTGAAAAACTGCTGCACATTTAGTGATGACAGAATAAATGCAATACTTGAAAAGTATTTAGAGCCTAGTTTTCCTTTCCAGTGTTTCTGTGCAAACATAAGACATTTTGACTACTTTATGGGCTGTGTTTGTTTCTGTAACTGTGTTTACATAATGTAGCTAGTATATCAGCTACCAGAATGAACGTTCTGTTCCCTGGAAATTTCCTGGGAAGTGCTTAACTTGTGAGATGTGCAGTGAATTTACTCTTGTTTATGTCTGTTGATTTTTGCCAGGGACTGCTATATAGTTTGGTTGGTGCTCAGGGGAACGAGAGACTTTCTGTGATGAATCTTGGCTATAAACATTACCAAGGGATTAATAACTATCCACTTGATTTGGAGCTGTCTTATGCTTATTACAGCAATATTGCAATAAAGACATCCCTGGATCAACACAATATAAAAGGGGAACAGGTAAAAGAATTAGAAGTGTATCTGAATCTTTTTCTGTGCAAGTTTTTTTTCACATTCATGTTATGTGACCAGATTTTTATCTTGATTTACAAATACTGGCTCATCTGATTTGTGTCCCTGCCTGTGGCAGGGTCTTTAAAAGTCCCTTCCTGCCCAAATCATTCTGTGATCCAATGATTGTCACAAAATTCCCCAAATTGTATGTAGGTATCATTACTGTGTTTCTTAAGAAGGGGGAATCAAAATCAATATCAGACTCAAATCCTCAGAATTGTCCACAAGCCTGTCTTTTATTAAAGTCCAAGCCTTATTCTTGGCCCCTGAATCCTCACTCAGACTTTTAGTTATTAATATAATTGGATGTGTTTATTAAGCAATTGATCTGCTGTTTCAATAGACAGACATCATGAAGTTCCTGCAAAAAATGAATTGTCCTCTCCATACTTTAACCTTTTCTATAATCAAATGTAATTACTTGGTTGTTAAATAATTATCTGATAAAGTTACAATAAAATAATTTCAGAATAGGCTGCTAACAGGAGGTAACACAACTTTATTTGTAAAGAATAGTCAAGAATAGTGCTAGAATCCTGGCTTATCATAAAGCATGATTATTGTACAGAAATAGAGAGATTCTAATTGCTGAAGAACTAAAATCTGGCAGACTTACCTAGATAAGAGTGCTGTGGGTCACGTCTTCACCAAGCTTTCTGCCAGTTTTTTTTTAATCTTTTGAAAGCAATTTCTGTAGAAATACTAAAGCTTTGAAAGACTTAAATATACTTCTTTGCCATTTCTGAAACCAAAAGATGGTTTGGGGTTTTTTTCAGTTGTTGCTGTCTTGGCATATCTTTCCAGTGTAGAATGGACTTACAGTTTTGGAACAAAGCAGTAAATGTATTTTACAGGGGATGTAAGAATAGTTCTTAGTGCACTGGCCAACAGAGGAGTGATGAGAATTTTAAAATCCAGAACTAATCACTTTTAGGGATAAGCAGGACATGGATAAAATTTTCATTTTGGTTGCAGATGTAGAAATCCATTGTGAAATTGATGTGGAAGTTATTTTTTTTCTGTTCACCTACTCTTCAGGCATTTGTTGAAACTATAAGACTGATGGATGATGAACTGCTAAAAGCTCAAACAAAAGAAAATGGTGATGTCTTTATGTGGTTAAAACATGAAGCAACAAGAGGAAATGCAGCTGCACAGGTATAAAGCAATAATTTTTCCCGTTCTTGGTTATAGACACACTTAGGAATGTCCATCTATCGACCATGTAGGAAAGTTGCAGAGGAGAGCAGACAGTCTTTCCTCCTTATACCCAGAATTGCTTCTTTTTTTCAAGTCCGGACTACTTCTCATGTTCCTGTTCAATAATATCCAATAACCATGCAAAAGCTGTAAGAATGATGCAAGGCACAAGGGAAGAGTCTTCAAGTCTTGGCAACCTCCTTGTCTGATCCTTTTCCCTGGCTTTGTATTTGATACATTGCAATTCTGCTGCTGATCTGAGACCAGTAGCAGTATATTGTAATACTGAGCCATTTACCTGCATCAAATCTGTCACTTACCCCTGCACTTCAATCAATCCAGACTCTGTGATACTGACAGCTGTAAAAATAAGCCTGCTGTAGAGTTAGCATCAGTACATTCCACCACTGAAAAGCTGTCTGAACATTCCTGTTAACCAGTTGTTTTCAAACTGTTGAGGGTGTATACTAGTTTCTTCTCATATTTGAAATGTATCTAAGCCTGCAAAAGTCTGTCCCTGCAATTCCAGTTTCAATACCAGCATTTATAGCATTACCACTTAAGTTATTTTCTTTTAGCAACGTCTGGCTCAGATGCTGTTTTGGGGCCAGCAAGGAGTGGCAAAAAATCCTGAAGCTGCAATAGAATGGTATGCAAAGGGTGCAATAGAAACAGAAGATCCAGTGTTGATATATGATTACGCCATTGTGTTGTTTAAGGTAAGTTATATTTGATGTTTTCACTTCAAAATAGTCATTCCTTTAACATGATGTTTTAAGTTATCTGCAGTGACTCATGGTAAGAGTGTATACAAGTGCTTTTACATTTACTCTGAAAATCAAGCAATAGGTATGAAGCTAATGTTGATTTTTACCAAAAAGAGGCACAAAAATTTTAAAAAGAGCAAGTTAAAAACAATCTTACTTTATTCCTATCCATATTCAGGATCTAAATACCACCCAAATTGTGGATCCTAATTTTTCCTAATATCTTGTCACCTCAAGAATCCAACCAGCTAGTAGGCATAGGCTTTGGTATAGAGGTGTAGGTAAAAGTTTGATCCTTTCTTAGAATGCCCTTTATTAGGATTTTTTTTTTAGTTGGAATTAATTCCTCAGTTGGAATTAAATTATCCCTGCTTGCACTTAGTTTTTCCCTGCTAGAAGCAGTAGACAGAAGGTGCTGAACTGAAGCCTGACCTCACCTGCGTCAAATAAGGTGTATCAGCTAGGTGATGTCACCCCTAAGACATTCAAGCACTAAAGCTTAGCTGGTAAGGAACTGCTAGGTCTTCACCTCATTCCTTTGACAGTGGAGGATTTTCTCTGGAAGATGTTTACTTAAGTTTTGCTTGTGTTAATTTTGAACGCACATAATCTGTTTCACCTGTGTGTAAAATTATTTTATGTGGACATCATAAGCATGACATCTGTGTATTTCCTCTAGAGACACTCTAACATCCTTTTTCAGGAGAGCTGAGAGCTCTTACTCACTGCCAAACTGTGCACAACCTATGCCCCTTTAAATGCTATTTATTCTTCCTTAGTTGCTCAAACTTAAAGATCTGTGATATTATTTACCCATAAAAATCAGTTGAATATACTGGTAAAATAATTGTTTCTAGACTGCATCACTGAGATTTTCTAAAGCTGTGAAGGAAGGATGAACACAAAGCTGCTTGTTTTGTTGTAACTGTTTAAAGCTGAATGACACTTAGTAGGTAATAGTATCAATATTAAAAGGCATTTTGGATGTGCATAAGTGAATTTTTATCAGCCTGCATTTGTAAACAATGATTGTTTCACATATCCATTTCCTAGGGTCAAGGTGTGAAAAAGAATATAAAACTTGCATTGGAGTTGATGAAGAAAGCAGCAGCCAAGGTAAAATGCAATAAATATTTCACTGTGGTAGTTCTGTACTAGGTGCTAATAGCTATGAACTCTGATTTATATAAAATGCCTTTTACCATAATTCTGGGTCATACTGCTTGCTTCTTCCAGTGTTATCACCATGAATGGTGAAAGCCTTATTTGCCCAAGTTGGGAGACTAGACTACTCAAAATCAGCCAAAATTTCTGTGAAAGAAAAAAAATTCTCTCTACTTGTATATTGTGGAACTTGATGTTAGTTTAGTGATTTACACACTGAATATTTGATCCAGGAGTATGTTTTTGCCTCATATTCCCAAGCATAAAGGGAGAAGACCTGGATGTCCCAAAGTCTCCTGATTTATTTCCATAGCAGGGAGAAACATTGAGCACCACAGAGCAGAGGAGCCTCGCTCCATTTAATGATCTAGGACAGCCAGGTTACCCAGGCCATGATCTGGTCCTTAGAATAAAAATGAGAGTGCCTAGACCTTGAATACATTCCTAGCTCTCAGAACCAGAATTAGATAACTGACTGATTATGACAGTAGGACTTCACTGCTGACCACTATCAGAAAAGATTTGTGCCAGTTCTGGGATTCCTTTGAAACAGGAGAGACTATCTGTTCTACTGCCTGTTTGGGAAAGGCTTAAATAAACTGAGAGGCTTTTATGATGTGATCAAAATACCTTTCATTCAGGATCTGAGGAGCAGCTTCCTGGAAGACTCCTAGGGATATCAATTCCTTACTCTCCTTGAACTCAAATACTTGGGTTCTTGTGCTCCAATGCAGATTTTCTATACAGAAACAACATCATAATTATTGAAAAGTTTAACAGCTCTTGCATTTTAATGTGCAAGTTAGTAACACTGCTGGCATACTTACAGCCCCATATGATCCACCAGTTTATACAAGGAGGTGGTGACTCATTGGAACAACAGTAAAAACTGTCTCAAGACTTTCTCTTGAGCCAAGATGCAAAGATGCAACTTAGTAATAGCAGGTAGCAATATGTTAAGCTGATCTGTATGATGTTGGTGAAATGCATTTTGAAAGCAGCATTACAAAGTTTTGTGTACATTGCTTTCTATTTATTCTCAAGAAAATGATCTAGTTTAAAGGAAGTGGGTTTTTGATTGCTAATCTTGTCAGTCAGTTTCTGGGAGTTCACAAGAACAAGTGTCCTGTTTGGCTTTGAAGAGGAGACAGGGTGAAAATAGTCACAGTTTGTTCTTGTCAACAAGTGAAAGTCATGGCTGAGACTCTGTAGAATGAGATGACACTGGAGTCTTATTCCTCACTCTGTATACAAGGCCACAGAGAAAAGTAGTGAGGAAAAAAAGGGTTTGTAACCCCTAGGCCCATAAGTGACAAAAAGCAGAATCAAATGTGTGACCTGAGATTGCTCTTCTCCTTCCCTTAAGGGCTTGCCCCAGGCAGTGAATGGATTAGGATGGTATTACCACAATTTTAAAAGAGACTACAAAAAAGCAGCCAAGCACTGGTTAATTGCTGAAGAATTGGGAAATCCAGATGCATCATACAACCTTGGTGTCCTGTATTTGGATGGCATTTACCCTGGAGTACCTGGTAGAAATCAAGTGAGTAATTATTTAATGGTACTATTTCTTACATTAGGGCCCAATTTAGAAGTTTTTGTCTCATTCTTGAGATTGCTCTGTTCACCCTAAGTTAGATTTTGATACCTTTTATCACAAAGAAGAATTTTACTGGGGGATTCAGTCAAATTACTTAGGGAGAGAGATGTTGCTCGAATATCTCAGTCAAAATTATATGCATGTGTTTCTGTTCTTTTAATTTAGAAACAAAACAGGTGCAGGTTTTACCCCTTGCAGTGACAGCAGCCAGGAAGGATAGTGTGTGCTCTCACATCATGTGACCTTTCAGGTTCTCAGTTTTGGATTGGAAAGTTTTTAGGGAGGGGATTCCACAATAACTGAAAGAGGCACGACCTTGTCCCTGAACCCATGAACAGCTATGCTTCTGTTCACACAGCTTCTGTGAGCCTCAGAGCTGCAGTGAGAGCTCTCCAATCCAGTCTTGAAAATGTAACTCTTTGATACAGTCCTGGTAGACAGCAGTATTTTTTTTTTCTGTGACAGAACCCATTAACATATGTGCAAAATAAATTTTGCCCTAATAGGAATGGTCTACTTAATTTATATTTGGTTTAATTAACTTAGAAGTGTACGAACAGCAGCAAAAATGTAATGAGGTAGACTGCAATAAATGTTGTCAGACCTCATACTTAAAGCTAAAAAATGTTTCTAGTGTGGCCTTTGAGTTCTGAGATCTGGATATACTCCAGACAATGGGCATTTCTGCTGCCAGCAGCAGCAGTGCTCACCCACATGTGCATCTGGCAAACACATTTTCCTTCCCCAGGGACCAAAGAACACATTTCAGAGTGGACTGATTGTAAGAGTACACCTAAAAGTGCCCAGGTTTCTTTGTTCATCAAAGCCAATGGCAAGAAGGAATGTGTAGTCCATGCTCACTAACAGCAAGCATACTTTGATGGTTAAAAATTTCCTGAAATAAATTACTTCTGTTTGTATGCTGGTTTGGTTTATTTACCAATTGCTATTCCTGAGGGTAAAATGTGGAGTCACACAGCCTTCCCACTTCTGTAGCTTTGGCCCTGCTTACTCCATCTGTGTTATCTTCTATAAACCAGTTTCAAAGATTTGAGCACTGTAGTTGTGGTCTGCTGAACATACAGAGAGTTGCTGCTGCTCCACAGCCTTATTTGGCATCACAAGTTCTGTTCTCCAGGATGCCTTAATAATCTTCCTACTAGTGAGCAACCAATTTTACTTTTGTCAGTGCATGCAAGACTTTTGTGTTAGTGAGTGTTAGTTAAACATTTAGACACTTTTCTGTTTGATGTTCCATATATTACCTATGTGTTTTTCAAAACTTTCTCTAGCCTAAACTATTAAAAATTTAGAAGAATTCATTTAATCTAAGTACACTAACAGTAGTTGAACTATCTTGCCCTCATTAGCTAGCTACCTATTTTTATTCCTTTGATGAAAAGGGTCCTGAGGAAGAAATCTCAATAAAGATTAATAATGCAGAGTTGCTAATTGTGTCTTGTTTCTCCACAGACAGTTGCTGCACGCTATTTCTATAAAGCTGCCCAAGGAGGACACATTGAAGGGACTCTGCGATGCTCTCTGTATTACATCACAGGAAATATGGAAGACTTCCCTAGAGATCCAGAAAAAGCTGTAATGTAAGTAAGGAAACCATTTATAAAAGGAGAATATATTTCTGATGTGATTATTTTGATTATTGGTGATTTTTAAGTCCATAGCCTGAATACCTTGTACTTCACAGTGCTTACCTCTGTGGCAAAAGGTTCTCCTGCAGTAATATTTGATCTGCATGAGTACGTGTATTATTTAGATGACCAGTAGATTTTAAGAGATATTGAGTACTTTTACTACTTTTTTTCCAGAACAGCTCAGAGAGATTGTATTGAACAACTCTGAAATGCTTTATCTAACAAAGCCTCGCTATTTTTTTATTTCAAGAAATATTTGTGATGTGGTAGAATTGGCATTTTGCATCGAAAATAGGCAGATAATTTTTGATAGCACCGATTAACTTCGGTTTGTTTTCTTAAAAAACATTGCTGAGAAAAAAACATAGGATGTCTCTAATACACTTCTAGAGATGAATGGACTTCATGTACTCAGTCAATTGTTACAGGATTGATGCTGTGATTACTGTTTAATCCCAGAGTTTGTCTTACAGAAGAAGTTAGATGGTGATCTCATATCCTTTTGTGTTCTTTGAATCTACATGTGTTGGGATAACATTACTGGAGCCATGACCATTCATTTTTTGTTTGTTCTATTCCACAGCTGGGCAAAACACATTGCAGAGAAAAATGGCTACTTGGGTCATGTAATCAGAAAAGCTCTCAATGCTTATCTGGAGCTTTCATGGTATGTTTCTTCTGTTCTGTATATTTTCTATTTCACTTACTTTATAGCAAGATAAAATAATTAATAATGGGCCATCACTGCAAAGAAAAAAAAAGCAGTAGCACTACAAAAATCAGTTGCAAAACATCCATTGACATAAAGGGAAGGAGGAGTTGACCCAAAATGTAAGTCAACAGTTCTAACATAATTAAGTGAAAAACAAGGGGTTTGTAGTGTGAAATAGTTGTATCAACTGTGGTTCTCCTACCATAATATTTGTGTAATGTGCACTGGATTAACCAGAGGAACACCTTTCACTTTTACTATTCTCTGTATTACAAATCTTGTATTTTACCTTCTCTCTTCAGTATATTTCTGTGTCATGAGAAGTTCAGCTGCTGGATTAGATTTGTTGGGTTTTCTGTGTATGGTTAGTATTGTCTTTTGTATAAGTATAATAGGGGGCTATAATATCCAATGAGCCAGTCAAGAGGTTTCAAAATAGTGTCCAGGTTAATGCTCCATCTTAGCAGCCTCTGTAGGCATGAACATCAGATATTGTGTGTGCAAACATCAGACTGTCATATGTGATCAAAACAATGGCTCATTTAGTCCTGCAGCTTCCCCCTCTAAGTACTGAATTAGTGCTTCAGGCTAGGGAGATCTACAAGAAGCTGTCAGTGGACTGTTCTGGAATAACCCATTCCTAGAAGAAGTGTCTTTTCACTCAGTCCATCACAGACATTTCTTCTTAGACTTGAACTCACTTCTGAACACTGAAAAATCTCTTGATATTTTTGTAGCATGTTCTGTTGTGCAAGCCTGTGACTCTGCCCAGCTCAATTTGCAGTCCACAGGTAGATGACAGGTAGAGCATAAAGATTCCAGAAAGTGTGGGCTCAACAGCTAGGAGGGAAAATGTCCTGGAGTCCTACTTGGGATGCCAGGGTGTAAATTGCATAGGTATAAATTGTTCCACTGCCAATCCATCCAAGTAATGTGTTCTTCAGTCATTGTTTGCAGACACATGTTTTACACATCTGTCTGTCATGGTAGTTTGATCTTCAAAGACTGAGGCAAAGGCTGTAAATGTAATTTCTTCTCTTAGTTGCCCTTGGACACTTAAGGATCATCCAATTTCCCAGCTTTCCCTTGAATTCCTTCTCTTGTCCCAGGTCTCTCTTGTTCTAGATGTTATTACAGGGCAAGTACAAGGAATAATTTGTAATCATGCAGAAGTATCTGGATAACAGGAGGTTACACCTGCTAGGTCTGTACGGGCAACTGCTTTCACAATTTGATTTGAAGTGGTTTTGCTTAAGCAGCTACTCTTGAAGTCAAATGTGTATTTTGACTGTATCTTCCAGTTAAACAAGCCATTGAACCCTGAAACTTGCCATGATTTTTACCTTTGTGTTTTGGATAAAATCATTAGCAGCACTACTCTTTAATAGGAAATTTCAGAAGGAAAAAAGTACACCAAGTGTGGTTTTTTATTGTTTAGGGATTTTAAAACTACACACATGATTTTAAAGACTTCTTCTTAATTTTAAATGCATAGTCTTCATAGTATAGAGTAGATGAGTGGCAGAGAATATGAGAGATGCTCTCATCTATATCAGAATACTGAATTGCTATCCTGCAAATGCAATATTAAGTTTTACTACTTGCTTTACAGTCAGTGATGCATAGGGACAGAGACTGTTTTCTATTCATACATTCAAAAATATGAAGAGAGAAATTCTTTTTCAAAAAGCTCTGTCTTAAAAGACAAGACAAAAACAAGTCACATAAATGAAAGATAAAGCATACCAAAGAAATACACAGATGAATGTTAGACAGATATATACACAGGTATATATATAGATATATAGGCAGCTAAGTTAAGATATATAACATATATACACAGACAGATATATACATGGCTAAGTTAATTATAGATTTTCTTTGAGTAGAGTCTTTTAAGAATGTTTTATCTGAAACATTTAAATATAGAATTGGGCTTAGTGTCAATTTTTCTTTCCCATCAGTCTGGCACTTAGAGTAAACACACACTGGAGCCAGTAGCTTCAATGCAAGAGGAAAAGGGCTGCAAATTTTTGATGCAGCATGGCTGGTTACACCAAGCATTGCCTGTGCATGTCGCTGTTGCATGGGTTTCCCAGCCTCTTGCTCTGAAACTTTGTACCAGCATTTTCCTCGTAGGCAATTTTATGCATTTGTTTAGTGCTTTTGGGGCTTTTTTAACCATAAGTAAAATACATGTTATTTTTGTAAGGCTTTTCATTAATTTATTTTATCTAACATTAGGCATGAAGCTCTGCTGCATTACATTTTAGCAGCTGAAACTGGGATTGAAGTGTCACAGTCAAATTTAGCACACATCTGTGAAGAAAGACCAGTGAGTAAATGAATGCACAACTCATGATCCTGAAAGGACCCTTTGTTAATGATAATGTGTGCCATTAGTCTCTTACCTGGGATATGAATGAATCAATTATTTTCTTTATAGGACCTAGCAAGAAAATACCTAGCAACTGATTGTGTCTGGAGATACTACAATTTCTCAGTTTCTCAAGTCAATGCTCCATCATTTGGTATGTATAAGGAATTTTTTCTAAATTTTAAAGTTACCTTTTTTTTTTTTTTAATTTCAAGGGCTGCATTTGTCACAACTTCTATGTGAGTAAGCAGGTTGAGGGAGGGAAGATAAATTCCTGCTAATCATTCATGTTTTGATAGGAATATCAGGATAATTAAAGGTAATTAAAGTGGTTTATTTCAGCACAGTTTTTTTGAAAATTTCCTTTTTATTACATTAAATGGGTAAAATTTTAATAAAATAAAAAAAAAAGCCCTGAGGAAGGGCTAGATGTTTAGGAGTCTGAGCAGTTGACTCAAAGTTTAAGAAAAAAAAGCAGGTGACTTTAGGAGCTCATGCTGTTTGGTTTATCAAAGGGAAAATCCAAAAGCAAATAGACTTCCATATCATAATTGAGTCATGAGAAGCTAATAAAGGCTAAGGGAGTCCTTATCTAATTTATTATTAGTTTTCCTCTTAGGGTACAGAGTTTATCAACATCAGTAGAGCTTACCTTGGAGAGCTAAAGGATTCTCTAAGGTCTATTTGCAAATAAGTTACATTCCTCAGGCCTTAAATTTTACTACACCTAGGGCTTCAATAGCTAAGTCATTTTGGTGTCTCTGAAAGCTTTACTGAATATTTGAAAACATTGATCTGATTGTCTCACAGGAGCACTTCAGTGATTTGTAACAAGCATGTGGAAAAGTGGAGTGTAAAAATAATTCGTGCTATTCATTTAAATACACAGTGTGGGAAATTTAAAAGTGTGGAAACTGAATACCACGTGGATATAGCCTGAAGCCAGAGGAGCTGACAAACACTGTTAGCTTTCCTGAGGAGTTTGTAGACACCTTAGCAAGGTGTAGTTTGGTTGACCCTTTGGTAGATCCACTGGTACAAGCTCACATGAGAAAAACTTCTGAAGGTCAGACTCATAGGAGGGAACTGTCATTCCATTTCAGCCCGCTGTAAAAACATGTGGGATTTTCTTGTGTAGACACACAAGCCTAAGTGTAGAAGAGTTTCAAATGATTTGAGGAAAGCTTAGGTCAGGTACGTGTAGGCACAGTCATAGGAGTTTTTAAATTCAGTAGCACAGATCATCATGCTTGCTCCTGTCTGGCTCAGTGCCCTCTCTTTTGATGCATTTCATTATGGTGCAATGTCACAGAAAGATGCTTGTAAAGTGTTTGCTAGGCATTGCTCCCTTCTAGACCAGGAGAATTGTATCCCTACTGTTGTCCTGGGTTGAGTTGGATTTGAAACTAATGAAATTATCAGCAGCAACATTTTCTAACTTTTGGGAAAGGTTCAGCCACCATAGTGTCAGGTACAGAGCAAACACATAGATGACATGATTTTAAGTTTCATCAGTTTAGTAGGGCTAATCTGACTAAATAAGGCTTCAGGTTGTCCAAAGACAGATTCAGCAAGTGAAGAAGGAATGAAATATAAAGACTCTCAAGCCTCAGATTTTGTAAAAGCAATGTCATTTATTAAATTCATTAAAGAAAACAAGAGAGATTTCATCAAGCATAATTATTTTCAGTGGGAGGCTGATATAAAGTGGCCGCAGAGACAACCAGAGAGAAAGTGTACATTTGCCTTTTAGTATTGTGCTTTAAACAGAATTACTGTTAATTTCTCCATCACATTAATAGTTGGGTAATTCTATTGCTGCAACTAATCTAAATGATCTTCTGCTGATTTCCTCCACAGCTTATTTGAAGATGGGAGATTTTTACTACTATGGCTACCAGAACCAGTCTAGAGACTTGGAGCTGTCCATGAGGATGTATGCCCAGGCTGCCTTGGAGGGGGATTCACAGGTGGGTCTGCACTTATGGCAAAACACCAGAGTGTGGAACAATCAGAGAATTGAGCTAGGACTGGTTCTTCTGCTTGGCCTCATCTGCACCAAAGAAACCTGCTAGAATAGATTACAATTATTTCAAAATACCTTGTGAGTCAGTAGTTGCTGTTTCATAATAGAAGATAAACTTAGCATAGATTAATGGTCTTAGAATTAGGCTTTGTAAGCTAAAGGTAAGTGGCCTAATTTGGTGCTACCTTACCTTGATGCAATTGACTTAGTTGTGACCTCAGTATTTTTGCTATTGCAAGAGGAAGAATGAATAGACTGCTGAGTTGTATTCCAGTCCTATCCTCTCCCATTTTATGATAAAAAAAAGAAGACTAGCCCATTTCCCTTGGTATATTATACCAAGTGAATCCCAGGGTGAATTTTGTTCCCTAATAGAGGTTTCATCTTAAAATGCTTTATAATTAAAGAATACACCATGTCACATTACCAAAGACATGCAGTGTTTCACCACTGAGTTTCCTGTTCACAGGAGAGAACAGGAGTGTGCTGGGTGCAATATTCTGTTCTCCCTGTCCCTATGGCAATATCCCCAGATGGGGTATTGTATATGAACTTGTCAAAGGTATGGGTGGGTTTTGTTTTGAGGTTATTAGGATAAAACATTACTGCTAAACTAGCAAAGGAAAGAAGAGATGCATAAATAGTTACTTTAAAGTATGAAAATCAAAGTGATAGGGAATCCTGTAAAATGTGTCATGTGTGTTCATCTTCATGACTCCGAAGAGACACAGGGTTGCCTAAGACTTGCCCAAATAAGCAAAACCATAAGATTAAGGACTTAAATTGTCTGAGGAAATTTCTGCTCTCAATTTCACGACTCAGATTCTGTTGATCGTGGAGCTATGTGAAGGGGAATGGAACAGTAACAGAATAGAAATCCATTTCTGCTTTCACTCTGTATTTCCCTAGGAGAAAAAAATGTCGGTTTGGTATGGTGAATGGACTTAAAGAGCAATTCAAAATAAGAAAGAAACCATCTGGAAAAAGATATGAGCTTAGAAAAGAGTGTCACAACATCTGAATGTTTCTTTGGCATTTTCAGTACTTGAGTGTATGGTTAGGAGAAAAGGCTCTCATAATTATTCAGTGAATATCACATTATGCTAACAAATTTAGGGAAGACAGATACTTGGTGCTTAAATACATGAATATGAAAATTTAATGTTTCAAAGGTGTGTGTTTTTTCCCTGTTAGGGTTTCTTCAATTTGGCCCTTGTCATGGAAGAGGGCAACTCCATACCTTCCTACATTCTGGATCACTTGGAAATTGATCAAGCATTGCATTCTAGTAATACATCACTTCTTCAGGAGCTCTATTACAGGTGAGTCTTTTTTACCCTTAATCAGCATCTTCTGGTTTTCCACGTGAGTAACATTTACTCTGGAGGACAGCACCTCCTGTAATTATTAACTTTGTTCACTTTTGTGATTTAAGGCAGGTTACGGTCAACATACTTAAAATTCTTAAATTCCCTAATTATATTTCAGTTTTTACCTGATTATATGTGGTTACCTGAAATAGTAGGGACTGGATTCAATAATGCAGGAGGTCTTTTCTAGTTCAATATATTTCAGTTCCTAAATTGGGCACTGGTGATTTGTATGCAGTCCAAACCAGTAGTTGAATTTTAAATGTAGCATAATTTAATACAGAACTTAAAAATATGTAACTGGGATAACAGCAATCCTCCCTATTGATTCTGCAAATATGTCCAAATATGGTGGCACAGAATATTGGATATCTGAGAATGTTACAGGTCTGCTGCCTGAATGACCTGTGCCAGCACTATTCATGGACAAACCACCTGGTGTCCTCTGGTTCCAGTACAGAACTTGGGTTTCCTTTACCCAGGTAAAGCAACAGGTGTTGGAAGGCACAGTGGGAATGTGAAGCTTACACAATATTTGGTGAATTTGTGGAATTGCCATTCAAATATTTGAAGAAGCAGGAGCTAATGCTCAATACATGAGGCTGTGAATGATGAATGTGTGCTTTATCATCTGTTTTGCCACTCAGTGAACCCAGAAAGGTGGAGATGACACCAACGTTGAAAGCTCATTTGTCTCTTCAACAACAATCTGCTGAAATTGTTCTTCACTGCAGTTAGACTGAACTTGTACCCTAAACTGCTTCCAGTGGACATGAAACTGTTAGTCAGATACATTGGGGTTCTGGACCATCTGGGGTTGTGAGCTTGAGTCTGAATTCTGCCTTCACTTGGGCTGAATCACCTGCTTTGCTGTGAGAGTAATTCCAGAGTTGACAGTGCTGAAGGGTTTTCCCATCATCATACAATTTTGTCCAAATACTTTTCTGTATTTTTTATATATATACATATACACAGTCTATGACTTTATAACTAAATTATATGTATATTTATAACAAAATTTATGTAGAAAAGGTGTATATATATATATATATATATATATATACATGTCGTCACTCTTTCCTTAGCTTTGTAGAAAAGAATCAATTGAAGCTTCAAATAGATGCCTGTGATTTAACTGTCTAAACTCCCCTGGTAGGTAAAGTCCTACTTGATAGAAATAAGAAAGCTGCTCAGCTCACCCCACAGGAGGTGGGTACCTTGTGCTAGTCACCTAAAACACTCTTCAAGCTCTGACTTCATTCTATTAGACAGCATTGTCTCTAAAGGACTTTTGGCACCAGTGTTCTGTGTAGGCAACTAAATTTTGTACATCTAATTTTAAATCAAGTCCTTCTGCTGTTGAGTCACATTACTCAGAGCTTGTTCTGTGACTGCTTTGAAAGTGTAGCCTGGATGCTTAGACCCATTGTTGACTAGTAAGAAAATAAAAAGACACATTTCTAGGGTAAGGTATTCTGTGCTTAATAGGTTTAAGCTGGTATCTTTCTGAATTTTTACTTCACCATCTGTGAGATAGTGATGATGATATTCATTTCTTTTTCTGATTCACTGGTTCTGCAAACCCATTTGAGAGGCCCAGATGATTGATGGCACAAAACAGTGGAGGAGGACTAATAAGTTGTTTTTATCTTCTTGTTGTAGGTGCTGGAATAATAGTAACCAAGAAACAATTAGCCCATGTTCATTAGCATTGCTTTATTTTTACATGAGAGTTCTCTGGAACAATGTTTTACACTCTACTCTGGTATGTATTGCCCCTTTATTACATGCACAGCTCATTTGGAACTTTAGCTTGGCTTTGCACTGCTCTAACTATATTTTTTGAATTATTGTCACAGATCTACTTCATGGGAACCTTTCTTTTATCGATTCTTGTTGCATTTGCAGTGCAGTCTTTTCAGTCCTTGTCTGGTAAGTATGTGGCATAGTAAAACTGATGAAAGAGGAGTGATCTTTTTAGGTCAGTAAAACCTTCAAAAATGAAACCAGAAGTCTTGATTTTATAGAAGTGCCTCTGAGCTTCTTTAACACATAAGTCATTTTTTTGATCATTAAAAAGGAGTAGATGAAGCAAAGCAAAAAAACCCTGTTGGTTACTAAGGAACTTCTCTTGCTAAAGGAGATTCTTAATAAAAGCCCTAACTGCATGTGATTATTCCCCATCTCTCAACATGCAATACTGTTACAGTAATGATATGACTTTGATTCCCTGCCTAGTCTCTGCAATATGTAGTCAAAGTGTGTTTCCTGTTTCATAGGATTGGATCTCTTGAGACGCAAGGTGGGAGAAAAAATGGGGTTCCAAGAGCTGGTACATCTGAGTAACTTAGTAAGAGTCAGTTCAGACTCTTAACACCTGTAACAGAATCAGCAAATGCATTCAGTCAGGAGTTACAGAACCTGTCATAATAATTGGGAAATCCTGCTTTCTTTTCCTACTAGTTATTAATTTATGTAACTTAGAATCATGCAATAAATTTATGAAGTATATAGTTATAGATCTTCTTCCAGTATTTCCAAACCTTTGAATATTATCTTTATATGTAATTTTACATCCGTGTAATATTTAAATATTGACTAATAGACTTCCTAGACACAGTGGAGTTTTCTTACATAATTTCTTTTGACATTCTTCTGAAGCTTTTAATTCTCCTGGAAGAAGATCAGAACCATTCTCACATGATGTCCCTTCCTCCTTAGGGAATGACAGTGAGGATGCTACCAGAGCAGTACAGCAAGATGAACCTACTCTTTCAAATGATTTATCACAGCAGGAGTCAAACCCTCAGAGTCCTCTAGTCACCAGCTGAAGTGCAGTTGTCTTAAGGTTGACATCCATTGGGAAGACAGGATATGAACAACTACGAATCTAAGAACTGGCAACCAACCCTGTACATGGCATTAATAATGCAGTCCAACAGCTGAAGTTGTAGGGAAGTTCACTGATCTGACTTCTCCACTACAGAGGAAAACCATCCCTATAATTTATTTAACTCCAAACAGATGATGCAGATTATCTCACTATACCCAACACATGATCGTACTGTATGTCATGGAAGGACTTGGAAGGAAGCCTGCAAAGTCTGTGCCTAATTGAAAAATAAGCAAACATCCCACAGGTTTTAGTGAGGTTTTACTTACATGTCTAATCTCTTACTAAATTGCTTTTACTGCATTTGAGCTTATTTATTGGTGAAATTAGCAAAGTTTTCCAAGTCTGAATCACTGAAATTACGTAAAAGCGAAACCCAGTCACCAATACTTTCCAAGTTCCATGGAAACCTGTCAGGACTCCAGTATATGCAATAGTAAAAATGTGGTTTTTGGCATTTTATATTCCATGCTGATTTTTCAATGTGAAAAGTGTTTTGTTTTGAAAGAAAAAGCACCAGGAATATTTGCAATATCTTCATAACATATTAGTTATTGCTGACTTTTAGTCACAGTTTTACAAGCATCCACATTTTCTGGTGGACACAACAAAATGTTTCTCTTCCTGCCAAGAGCCACTGATTAGAGAAAGGAGCTCCCCAGTGAAAAAATAAAAGAATATTCAAGTGTGATCAGGTGACACAAAGTGAAAAAAAAATTATTTTTGTATTCTTCTGTAGATAACACTGGCAAGGATTTATTTCATGTTCTGTAATGACTCTAAAAGACATATTTAAGTGACAGTGTATTTGATAAATGTTGGATGGGACATACAGATAACATTTATGGAGTGCAAATACCTTCTGTCTGATTTAATGTTCTCTGTAAAGTGGCTGTAGGAAGGGTCTAACCTTTACAGCAGGTGTGCAGTCACCTCTGCAAAATGATGTAGATCTCAGTCTATAAATTGCATCAATCTATGCATTATTGAGGGTTAAATCCACTTGCCTTGCACTACATTATTTACTCTTGTAAATAAAAATATTTTTTTAATTCAGCCTGTATGTGAAGGAATTTCTTTTAAGCCACCTCTTGGATGAAATACTGTCTTGCTGTTGCAATCTCTCAAGATCATTATTTACATGTCTGTTTTCTTAGCTTCAAATGCAACAATCAGCTTTCTCTTTCTTTGAGGAATACAGTCTTCTCACAGAGCAAACCTGGAATATTTTGCTTTGTTTTTCAAAACAAAAGAACAAAGTTTAGGAGGTTTCAGTAAGAAAAGAATGATTTAAAAGCAAAAAAAATCTTTGACCTTCAAGAGAGGTTTTTTATATATAAATGTCTATGCATACATATCATCAAGGCATATTTCAACTGCAGAAAACTGAAAATTCAAAAGTGTTGAGAGAAGAGTTGATGCTTTGAGGCAGCAGCTCCCTTGACAAGTCATGGGATAAAAATGAAGATGTTGAAGCTCCTCCCCCTCCCTCTGTGAAAGTAAATTGTGTGTCATGTTACCAAGTTTTTCATTTATTTGATCAAGAACTGTGCAAAGAATACTTTTTGTTCTTAGTACAGTTGTAGATACAGATTTTGTTCTTTCTATGTATAGGCAGGTATTTTAATGTGTGAGAAGGGAGCTTGACTTTTACATACTAAACTGTTGTACTCACTGGGGTTAGATTATGTGTATTTGATATCCATTGCAAATGCTCCCTGTTATTTTTGAGTCTGTTTTGAGTTGCAAAAACTTGTGCAGCTAAATTTGCGTATATCAAATTCCTTAACACAAAGTTGTGGCTATTTCAAGAGCCCTCTCAATTGTATTTTTGTCACCTAATAGAAGAAGACTGTGCAGCTGTATTAAAACTGGAGCAGGTTTAGATGGTAAACCCAGAAGCACTGCAGAAAGTCAAGTGTAGCCCTTGAAGACAAGCAGACAAATGTCACAACACAGGCACAGTGTTAGGTTAGGTAGCAAATGGCATGCACAGTTAGATGTTCACAAAATACTATTTGGGCCTGCGTAAGGCAATTCTTGCTTATAGTTAGCTACACATTAAAGGTGTATTTTGCTACAAATGTCACATGTAGCAAAACCAAAGCCCCTGGTGAAATACTAATCCCATAGGAGTTTGTCAGTGCTGGCGTGATTGCAGCCCATGTGTTGCAATCTGGGAGTTCTCCAATCAGCAGTGGTTTAGATTGTGTAAACACAGGTCAGAGTTAAGTGTTAGCACTCCAGCTCACTCTGTTTTCCTCACTAAAGCCCATGTTCTGAACTCTAGTCATTAACTAATTTGAAGAGTTCTGCCAGAAACAATCCAACATCTATATTTCAGAAGGCAATTGCTGAAGCTGCAATATATTTCATGATGCCAGCAGTTAGTAGTTCCATCTTTGTTTATTGTTACCTATTACATCAGAAGTTCTACCAAAGTATTTTAAGATAAGCAGCTCTTCACAATAAACTGGCAATCCTGAAGGCTAAAATAATATTAGTCACATTGTTGTCCTTCACTTCTTATAAAAGCCAGAGGGCTATTGACAACCTAGAGAATCAACCAATTCCCAGTGAGAAAGAGAATGGTTATTTACACAAAGCAGCTACATAGTTTGCTACACCCACAATGAAAGCAGGGAGAGAAGGGAAAAAGAGTTGCTGCATCAATAATTATTTTTCATAAATTGAAACATGATCACTGAAGTTTATAGTTTCTGCAGCCCATGTTGAGTGTTCAGGGTGGGAATAAGGAAATAATAAATCACAGTTGTAGAGCTGAACTGCTCTATATAGTTTGCCTGTACACAATTGATAGAAGTCCAGCCATCTGAACAACACAGGTCATGCATAAGGCAGGGTAAGTGCTGACCATTTTTCTTCTCCCTTGGTTCTGCTCAGAATCATCTCTAGCAAATACATTATGGACAAGAAAGAATTTCAGAAGGGTTATTTACAAAGTAGGTGCCAAATTATCTAAAATGAATACAGTTTACACCAAGTAAATGGATTTGTGTGTTACAGAAAGTGACAGAGGAGAGAGGTTGCTGCCTGCAATGTATCAAAGTGCTGTGGGAAGAAGGGAGAATCAAATAGGTGAAGATAGGCTAAGAAAAATAATTTAAAAACTGCTCAATGTTGAGCAGTTCTGAGTAGTTACCAACTACAGCTTTATGAAGAAAACAATTCAGACCAGTTATGAAAGATTTGCATCTATGCTGAGAAGTTTACTCAGTTCTGAATCACACGCTAGGGTAGTAGCAGGACAGCACCAAATGTGGGGGGCATCCATATGGGGGTGACTGACCATGGGTGCATGGTGTTGCTTCCCAGAAGATACATCCCAATAAATAAGCATGAGGACAGACTTAAAGTTCTATATTAATACCTTGCAATATCAATGTCAATATTTAGTGATAGAGGGAACACTTGTGAATTAATCCTGATATACTGATTACATATTATAAGCATACCCCTTGCTGGTATTTTTGTATTCCCATTTGAACTGGAAGAGCATAGATGATGTTTAAAAACCACATGTGAAACATGGATTATCTGTGAAGATAATTGATTTATAACAGATTCTTGTCTGTGTAAGCTGTCCTCATTGACTAATGGACTATGACGTTTAGCACTGGCTGTTGACCCTTATCCTGAATGAAAGACAGCACAAAGGCATGAAACAACTTGAATAAGCTTTGGCAGAGGAACTCCATCCATAGAGTCTCATCTTCCTCCCATAAATGTGTGAACTCTATTAAAAGACTGGGATGTAGGAAGAGAGCAAAAAGAAAAGGCTGGATTTTTTCTAAGAAAAAGCCGAAGGGTAAGAAAACTAAAGAATATCAAAGGGAATCTGAGCATGGAGCAATTTCTTATGCTGTCTTCTAAGAAGTAGGTGACAAGAACAATTACTAAATAATCAACAGAATATTGTAAATAAAGATGCTGCAACCTCAGCAGCATCTGGAATACAGGTGTATAGGAAATGCATCACAGCCTCATCATTTAGCTAAATATCTAATTCCTGTGCCAGGAGACTTCATTATATTTGCAATAAGGAAAGTGAGTCTATAGCTAATTAGAAAATCAGACCAGATAAGGAGACATGAGCAACCCAAATGGAATGGAAAAGATACTTGCATTATTACAGTATATACTTTTGTAACAGTTACAGTAAGCAAGGAAAAAAACCCAAAACCTACAACCAAACAGAAGCCAAATCACCTGCAGCAGATCAGATATTCTAAGGCACTGATGTTCCAAACTGAAATTGCACCAACAGTGCTGAGTACCTGTTGACTTAAGGGACTTGAGTTATTTGACAAGTGCTATCAGATACGCATCCACCTTTGGGCATCTAAATAATCCCTTAGAAGAAAACTGGCTACAACAGCTTTGTTTATAACTGTTCAGGGATCTTTCTGTTAATGTATTCCTTGACCTTCCTTCCCTCCCCAGTCTGCATTTTTTGATTTCTGTTGTTTCTTTCATTTGTCCACACTGACCTCTCCTTAATCACTCATGAACTGTCTAGATATCTCCTAATGCCTAGCATTGCTATTTGCTCTTATCGGTTATGCCAGGTGAGCAGGGAAAAGCACAAGTCCATTAGCAAACCTAGCACCCTTTTTTTGATAGTCAGCCAAGGCAGGAACTGAGATACCTGCTTGGCATTATCTGTCTGTGCATTACAGCATGTGCTGAGAAATTGATTTACACAGAAATAGTGATAGTGCAAGTTATAAGCAAATCTCCCTGGATAGACTAGTAATGATAAACTAACCAAGGCCAGGCTCTGCTGTCTGGTTGTGATGAGTTAAACTTCTCCTGTGAGCCCATTTATCTCATCTGGTGCTTCTTGGACAAGTCTTGGTCCGTAAAACTCCCAAATGGTGCCCAGCCATTGTCTAGGAGGATTCTTCTCAAATGGGCTTGAGCTAGGTCAAGCAGCACACCCCCAAATAGGTAAGATAATCATAACCCAGTGCCCAAGCATATCCTCCAGACCTTGTTCAGTTTAGTTGTGCAGATGAACCAAGACTCTTTGCCTCTCTTACAGGCCATAAAAGGCTCCATTCCACCCCCAAGCAATGACTGAGATTAGTCCTTACAATTTCACCAGCCTGTTTATCAGTGTGAGCCTTCCAGCAGCCCTAGCATGGCCAGAGCTGTTTTGAAGGCTTGCTTTCTTAAGTGTGCTCAGCCTGTGTTTGTAGAACACCTGACAGTCTTTACAAAAAACACCAGTACTGACTTGCTGGAATGAGAAATTAGTGTCTCCACTCATGTTTTGTCTTGTTTCATGAAGACCAAATTGTAGTTTTTCCCTTCTCCTCTGCAGAGTTAGTAGTGGCAGTAACACTGTCCCCACTTCCTTGTCCCGTATCAGCTCTGTCTTGTGTCCTACCCAGCTGACAAGGTTTAAAGGCTTCCATCTCTCATCAGTCCTGCATTGCTCTTCCAAGCCAGCTCCAGCTGCACAAGGATAACCTTTCCAGTATAATTTGAGTTAAATACAGTACACTAGTCCCAGAAAACAAGTTAACCTTTGCAGTTCAGTTGGTTACAATGCCAGCAGGGGAAACCCAGATACACCTACTCCAATGCAGAAAGCTCTAGGCCAGTTCATTAAACACATATGAGAAGTCACAGAGGGCCAGGTAGCCTGATCAGAAGGAAGTGGGTGAGGCATTTTACTGGCAGCTGTAAGTAGTCTCAAAATCACAGACACTAGTGCCTGTGAGTGAGTTTAACTACACTGACATCAGCTGGAGAAGCAGCAGAGCGGAGCACAAACAGCCCATCCAGGAATTTCCTGGACAGCAGTGATAACAGCTTCCTGACACAGGTAGAGGAGCTCCCATAAGGAATAGTGGGCTTCTCAACCCCAGCCTAACACACAGGGAAGGCCTCCAAGGCTGGAGATGTGAAGGCTGGGGGCAGCCTTGGCTGCAGTGACCATGAGCGTTGGAGTTCAGCACCAGACAAGGAGGAAACAGGGCAGGAAGCACGATTGCAACTATGGGCTTCAGGAGAGCTAACTTTTGCCT